GCACAAAATAAAATGTCTTAGGATGATTGTTGTTCTGATTTTACACTATATAAATACAATTTAATTGAAGTTCTTCAGTTACATTTAACATATACAGTATGTCTTCCTTGGTGACTTAGTACCAAGGAAGCTGCATCACTGACTTCCCCCATAGTTAAATGTGCATGAAACCGACTGTCCCACTGTCCTCTTTCTTCACTGTTTTCCAGGTGATGAGGGAGAAGATGCTGAGAAAAGCCAGAACTCTCCAACTAAAGAAGAGCAGACTCAAGCTGAGGGAAGCTAAGTGCCACCGGACATTTATGGACTCGAGCAGCCACTTCATTTAGTCTATCTGCTCTAAGCCTCTGACTGGCCAGTTGCATCTAATGACTGTGAACAGCAAAATCCTCTATTGCCACTATCCTGCCATCAGGAAGTCATCACTATGGCAACCACAGCACAGTCTCTCTCTCACTTGTAATTGGGTGTGTTCCATTTTCCTTAAAAACCTTCTTTCCTTTGCTGCCTTTTGTCCAAGGCTGCTGATATTAGATTGGATGTAATTTAAGGTGAACTAAACATGATGTCAACAACCAAAACCAGCCTACTTTTGACTGTGAGTGGTTTTGAGTGGAAAGTGGAGGGAGGAACGGAGGCTAGTAAAGGTTTTTAGAGCAGCCACAGAATTAAAATTTGTCTTCCCCTCTCCTCGTCTCTTTGAATTAATCACCGCTGATGCGACCGAAACACAGACGGCAACTGGACATCCACTCATCTTGCCTCGACGCCTGAACACGTGCTCCCTTCATAAGTACTCGCTATTGACCGTTTCCTATTTCCGTGGATTCGGATCCATCTGTGTATTGGATTGATGGACGTTATCCAGCAACTGCACTCAGCAGCTCAAAGGCCCTGGTGTACTTTGTTGCATGTATCCATGTCAGGTGTAATATCTAAATGGGTTTGTTTTTTTTTATCATTTCAGACATCCCGTTTTAAGTATTACATTGATGGTCAAACAAGGTCCGGTTCTTTAAAAAAAAGTAAGAGTCAGATCACAAGATATAAAGCTTTTTTTTTCCAAGTTAGGAACAGCAACATGTGCTGCTCGTTCTGTCACAGGCAAAATGAGCGTCTGTTTAGTTGTGGTGGCTGGCTTCACTGCACCTTGCTTTACTCTTGCACACTGACACTAACTTTGAGTTCACTATAACTATTCACTAGAATTTTGTTGTTTGCACTGCCAGGCCTCACAAATGAAGCCAGGGAGTACAAATGTGTTTCTCCCCCCCCCAAAATTGTGGGTTTTTTAAACCATTTTTCTGCCAAGGCAATATTGTCTTTTGCTTTGCTAATTCAGGACCTGGACTACTTGCCATAATTGATGGAACCACGAATTCAACTCTTTACAAGAAAATACAGAAAGAGAACATCTGCCCATCGATTTGTGGTCCAAACTTCAAGCACACTTGGGTTATTGAGTTGGACAGTGTTTCAAAACACACCAGCAAGTCCACCCCTGAATAGCTCAAAGCAACAAAATGAAGGTTTTGGACTCCTAATGAGATGTTTTTCATGACCTTAAAAGCACTGTTCATGCTCATAAAACCCTCCAATGTGGCTGAATCAAAACAATTCTGCAGAAAAGAGTCACTCAATGTGAATAACTCTTTGCCAATACTTGCAAAACCTCTTGCCTGCAGTTCTTATTACCAAGGCTAGCACAACCATTTATTAGGCTTAGGGGTCATGTACTGTTTCACACAGGGCCAGGTAGGTTTGGATAGCTTTTTCCAATTAATAAAAGAAATTTAAAAAAAAAAGGCATTTTGTTTGCACTCGGGTTATCTTTAGGAAAATACTTTTTAATGACGCTGTAAACAATGAAATTGATTGGTTGAAAAGTAGGATTTCACCCTCTTATACTTTAATAATTGTAATCAAAACTGGCCTCTCACTGTCTGCAAATGTGTCCAGTCTAACTTGTGATGGCCTTGAATGCAGGAGTTCTCTCCTTACATGCAGGGTATCTACACACATTAAGTGGTTATCCCACAGTTTAACATTGCACTGCCATGTATTATACCCAAGTTTGTTATTTGGTTGTGGTGGACATCAAGGAAAAACATTTATTTGCTACTTAAGATTTGGAAATTGCACTACTGATAGCACTGGTTATTTATTAGCGTGTGCTGTACGTGTAAATTTTCATAGATAAGACGACTGTTAGAATGAATATTATGTACTGGCACACTGCCTGTCAGTTTTGCAATTCCCTTTTGTAATCCGTTTTCATAGTTTCCTTTTAACACCATTACTGTACTCTGTCCAATTTAGATCTACTAATGAAATATGTGGGTATGCATTCTAAAAATGCTTTATTACTTTGTTATATCTGACCAGCTGATCATTTTGTTTCTTTGTTTAGTTACCTTCACAAAGGAGGTTATGTTTTTGCTACCGTTTCTAGTTATTTGTCAACAGGATTATGTATCTGCAGCTACCTGGATGATTTTCAGGAAACTTGGAGGTAACGTGAAGTATGGGCATATAGGAAGAAGCTGTAAAAATTGGGCGGGTGGACGGTGGGTGTAGTAAACCTTTAGTTTTAACCTGTTAAAAGGGATTAATGCCATTTTATAGTGCATCATAGGACTAAGATAACTTGTACTTTGAGTCCAGTGTAATGTGATTTAATGACCGGTACTGTTGCAATTTAGGTGAACTAAAGAACTCAAGCTGTTGTTCCATTTCCCACTGTTATTTTCAGTATTTTATAAAAATTTCCGATTTAGTCACGTTATTGTGTTATCAGAGGCATTACTATGTAATATACTCATTTTTGACTTTGTCGATTTGGTTAGTTTTGATGTGCAATTAAATTTTACCAGTGAATTAATCGAAAGCGTCAAGACAAATTAATGCATCCTCAACAGAGAGGGCTGAATAAACAAAGTCTTTGTCTCCCCCTGGTGGTCAACCTAAGCTATTCTATTCAACAACGGAAAGGCCCAATCACTGAGCGCTTCTGTTTTGTAATCGATATCAGACGATGTAGAACGATGCAATAGATAATGCAAGCATTCAAAAGTCACTGAGGTCATGTACCATTAGTTAAGGTCAGTTTGATAGAAAGATACTATGATGGCTAGCTCACGTGAAGGAATTGGTACTCTCCTATAATAGACCGACTCAAACCGACATGACCTTCTTCACACAGTGTAACAAAATTGAGCTGTATCATATGGTAATCAGAACAGTGAGGACTCATTTCACTGATACCAGAGTTGTTAATGTTGAAGATAAATGGTACATGCTGTAATAATGCAACAGAGCTGTATCTGTAATGACAGACCAGCTGAGTGATTATTGTTGTTATAGGCCTTTGAAATGCAACAAGGCAACTTATGGGTGGAGCATTTTCTTCAGTCTTTCTTGATTACTTTCATTCAGTCTTTCTTCCTTGTTCTGATACTCAGTTTGAACTTCAGCGTGCTGTCTTGACCATCTCTACATATCTAAATGTTTTGAGTTGCCGCTGATGTGAAAGGCTGATTAGATATTTGCATTACTGTGATTATTAGGTACGCCTGCTCCACTGCTAAAGTAGTTGCTAAATGTATGTAGCATGACTTATGTTTACATTTCCTTATTTTTTTTTTCTGATCCATTTAGTTTTATGAGTATTATTTTTGCTTTTCTGCATTTCATCACTTTTGTAAAAAACCTTCACAATTCATTTCTGTTTCAGAAAATATCTTTCTTCTATATTAGGCGTATTTTGCTGATTTTTTTTCAAAAGTAAGCAAGGTTATGAGAAAGAAAACTAAATTTTTTGATGTTTAAGTCTTCAAAGGCTTGTGAAAGTTGTTTATTCGTTCAGCACACAGTTAAAGTGACTGACTGTTAATGTTTTGGCAAATGTGAAAAATCCCTTAATTTTTTTGAGAAATACGAGACTAGTGAGAGTGACTTTCCTGCTGTGAGAATGGCACCAGATTGATTGAGAAACAGTATGATGTATGAAAAGATGAATAATGGATGTTGTAAGGTTTTTATCGTGATGATGTTGGAAAAAGTGTCGGCCTAAATTAAAAGTGAAGAATTTCTTTGAAACCTTAGAAAACTGCTGAAATCGAGAAATGCTAAATCATATACGTGAAAGTACAAGCATTAGAAAACAGGAAATGAAAATATATACTATGAGAGAACATTCAGCAACCACTTTTGCATCTGCTCAGCTGCTTGTTAATACAATTATCTAATGAGCCAATCACATTTCAGTAATCCAAAACATTAAGTCACGTAGATGTGATAAAGACATCCTGCTGAAGTTCAAGCTGAATGAATGAGGACGAAAGGTGAGTGAATATGTCTGAGTATGTCCAAAACTACTGATCTACTGGGGTTTTCCCACAAAACAATCTCTATGGAGGGATGATTATACAGAGAATGCTCTGAAATCCCCCCCACCAAAAAAAACCCTTGCATCTCTGAACACACAATCTAGCTGACTGTGCTGCACATGGTCTGCAGCAGCAGAAGACCACACTAGGCTCCACTCCTGTCATGTAAGAACAACAAACTGAGATTACATCTCGCACTGACTCATCAAAATTGGACAAAAGGTTGAAAAAAAATCTCAGAATAATATAATAATAATGCAGCGTGCACAAAAACAACGACAAAGGTGCTATTGTGGGTGGGAAGTGTTAAGAATAGTGAGACTGATAATTCTGATGTGAGAATTGCACCAGAGCGATTAAGAAACGCTGTACCTTGAAACACAACAATCATATTTCACATGGGAACAATTGTTTACCATGTTTACCTAAATCTATAACCCTATGCCTAATTGAATGGACTTTACTCCTTTGATAACTTATCTGAGATTTCTGTATCTTCAGAAACAAGTAACATTATATCATGAAGGCTGTATTTGCTCAGAGACCTTGACCTTGTGTAAAACCACACTGTGTTAACATAACTCTTCTCCATGATTACACAAATATGGAGCATTGGTTGGATTTATTCTTGTAATATTAGTAACATTGTAACATTACAGAACGTGTTTTGTTTAAACGACAAGGTTAGCTTTATACCATATACCAGTGATAATACAATGAAATGACTTACGATACATGCTTGTGCCACATGTACTACTGTGGCACAGTTCCCTTTCTTTATTTTAGACTTTTATTTTCAATGTGGAATGAAAAATCCATGCATGTCCTTGTTCAGCTCAGTATTCACATAGGCTCGTGCTACTTCCTTGAACGTTTTCCCATCGAGAATCAGGATGAAGCTCGACTGGCCTGGATTGGAGTTGATGACGGATGTTAGGACCACACCTGCAAATGGAGAAGGAGGTTGTTGTATCACAACTTTGTCAACACAGATTACAGGCACAGATAAGTGGGGGGAGAGCTGGTCTAATCTTTGTAGACCTTCGTATTGACTTGAACTTCAGCTTATCAATAGAAGCAAATACAGAATAAATGTCACGTCTTTGCACACCACATTCACTCGTATTCATACCATCATCTTCCGACTCTCCGTTTGGTCTGGGGATGAACACCGGCTCTGACGGCAAGCACTTGTCTTCACCCCAGTACACCATCTTCTTGGTTTCCGTGTCAAACTTTGCAACCTACACTGAGCGAACAGATGAAACACACTCAACAAAGACGCCCGTGCAGGTCAGAAGTTATTTACAGACACAGAAATACCAATACACAACACAGCACAACCGGCTTATCAGCCCGTGAAGTACTTTGTTCTGTGTGCAAATATTAGAAAGAGCAGTAAAATTCTCATATCACATGAGACTGCCGGACAATATGATGAGCAGCTGATGTTCTCATGGATGCACTTTGTACTTTATGAGTGAATCAAGTCCTTTTAATGAGCACAGGTACCAGAAAATATTTAGTAAATCCAATGTAGGCCTATTAACCGTTTACTGCTATTAACTAAAACGAATGGGTGACAAATAAAAGGAAAAAAACTGAACGTTTAACCCCTGCAGTGGTGGAGTCAGTTCTGTTATGCTGAGGTTGGCATTTTTGCTGGCATGGCTTTGAGGCGTGTCTCCTATCAGGGGGAAACTTATATGGTAATTAAAAAACATCCTCTGAGGGATCACCTTTATTCTGTTGTGAGATATTTTGTCATCCTCCCTTTTTGGTTTTTTTTAGGGAGGGAATGCCCTCATTTATAGGACAAAATGATGAAAATCTCCTCCATCATATGCTTTGGCTTCAACAGCCACTAAACCTGACCCAATTTAACCCCCCACAGAAGATAGTGGAGCACTGAAGAATCATTGCAGAGGTACATTCAACCTGTTCTGCCAGCACATGGGGGTTCGACACCTGATTATGACACTTAACGTGTTTTTTTTGTCTTTTGTCACCTCTTTATATATGATACGGGATTTTTCATGTCACATCTTGTTTACATCCCTCTTTTTTTAACCTGCTATGCGGCATATTCCACTTTATTAACCACGTGTTTATAAAATGGATATTCAAAATTATTCATAGTTCAAGCAGAAGCCAGCGCTCTCTTCCTGTTTGTTTTTAGAATTGATTGTCAAGTGAGGATTAATAAAAAAATACATAATTGTCTAATACAAAATATTTCCTTTTATGCCTTCCTGACTTTATGCTTCCTGTTGAAGGGCTGAGCTTTGAAGTCTTCTTTCCATTGTTTCTGATATCTTGATGTGCACGCGTACCCAAAAGTGCCATGAAGGGGATTGTTGTTTTATGGCGCAATGTGTAATTCACACTTAAACAAAAGTTTTACTGCCACATTTCGCTTCAATGATTATTCTCAGTACTGTAGTTTTTCACCCTAGTTTTGTAAAACAATACGTCCAGGAACAGCCTGCTTCCCCAAAATTGAAATGTCTGTTCTGGAAGTTAAAGGTCTCCATAGGCAAATTATATTTATAAAAATGTAAGAAATCTGAAATGTCGGATGTTCCCACCACTTCTGCAGAATCCCCCACGTGGTTCCCATAGACAAACTGGTGCCTCTTCCCATTGATGTCATAATTGATTCTGGGCAATTCGAAGCCTGGTGGAAATAAAACCACAGTTTTTGCTCCTATCTGGATTAACTTTAAATGACAAACAGCGACTTGAAAAACAAAAACAAACTAACTTAATTTGCCTTACCACTCAAACAGACACGTTTGAGTGGCGTTGGTTTTACCTTCACAGAGCACCTCTGCTTGGCACATGAATTTGCCTTCTTTCTCCTTCACGGCGCTGGCTGTCGTGTACTTGAGTTTCACCATGTTCCCTCCACCTGGAACGCTCTGCGAAATCCAGTCGACATGTGAAAGCCTTTAATGTGTGAGCCGTTCGATTGCAGGACCAAATGAATTACATAAAAACAACTCACTTTGTCAGCGTGGATGGGAAGGGCAAATCTCTTGTAATTTGGCTTGGAAAACCTTTTTTCATCAAACTGAGATTTCTCCTTCAAGTTGCTCAAGTAGAACATGTCATAAAGGCTGTTGTCGGTGTAGGCAATGACATCAAAGACCACATGGCCATCGTCCTCAAAAGCATTCACATGGTGGTAGAGGACCATCGCTCCTGTGTAGTACTTTGTCTCAACTTCTTTGCCGGTCTTTCTGTCTACCAAGTGGATCAGAGTCTGATGGAGAAACAAAGATATAGATAAAAGAGTCAATCCCATTTTTTCCTGAAGTGTAGAACACTAGTACACCTTTGTCCCCGGTCTATTAATCCACATTCATTAGCCTACTAACTTCTTACATTTTCTTCAGGGCAGAACTTCAGGCAGCTTGCCCAGCTGACTCCTCTCATATAGGCAGTAGCCATCTTGAGGATGTCCAGCTTGAAAGGCATCTCGACAAAGATGATGTAGTTATCTGTCATGCCAAAGCTGTGGTAGTAGCTCGGCATGAGAAGGGAGCGGCAGGGGACTGAGCAGATCACCTCTACATTTTTCAGTGCAGGGCCTTTCTTGCCTTTGTCTGAAAGGTGACAGTAGACAGCACAAATATGAAAACGCTGTAGGTGTTACTGTTGAGTTTAGAGGTTTAACAGGAAACACTTGAATCACTTATAGACCTTTGTCTGAGACAGCAGGAACTTTGAACAGTACGTATTTAGTTTTGCCCTTTGTCGCTATTGACGTTCCAAAGTTGTAGGCATTGCCCTCCTTGTCATAGTGAGGATGGCACGAAGCTAAGTTTACAGGCAGGTACTTCAAGTAGTCCACCTGTGTGAGATATTTCAGAAACATATCAGGTCTGAAGCAAAGTCTTTCTTGGTTTTAAGTTCACACGTTTCAAGGTTAACCGGCAGCGTTACCTTTTCCAGGGTTTCCAGGGTCACGGGATCAATCTTGCTGATGTAGTTGGTTTCAGAAGTGGCATAATAGTCATTTCCATACTTGATGAAGTTGCTCGCGCCATTGTCGGTGAAGTCAGGCATTGTGTGGTTGAGAAAGGTGATTGCCCTGAAAAGTAAAAAGTTTGAGGGTTTTGAGTGTGATATTGATACAGGAAAGAGAGCGTCTCCATAGCGCACTAGTTAATGCATTTGCTTAACATGTAAAAGATCCCCAGTTTAAAAGCAGGAGGAGACACAAATCCTTGGGAGAGCTGTGCCAGGAAGCGTGTCCGGTGTTAAAAATCTGTGCCAACACAAATATGCGGATCCATCTCCTGTAGTTACCCCCTTGTGAATAAGAGAACAGATTAGAAAGAAACCTGATTTCCTGTAAATGTTTGCCTTATATGAATCTAAGTGGAAAAATTCACAGCAGTAAGGGAAACAGCCCCGAGGTTGTTCCTACACAAAAATGATTATAACTGTCGCAGAGTCGTAGTCCAAGTGACTACCCAGATTTTACAAAAATGACACCGCATGGTGTTATTTAATAGCTGCACTACCACAAAACTTATAAAAACAAACAAACATGTATAACTTCAAACATACAAGAAACCATAAACATGGATACCTTTGAGAAATATAATGACACCATATATTTTCTACTTTGACCTAGTCAAAGAATCACAGGAATATACACAAAACATTTAAATTATTCACTCTGAAAAAGTTTTGGGAATAACCAACCAGTGCTCAGCCAGCGTTTATCTTCAGCGTAGCTGTCAAATAATAGAGAACAGCAGCATTTCTGTAGCACAAATCACTTAAAGGAAACTGAAGACATGCAACCATTAAATAACATATTGTCTATGGAGATTGCAATAGGAGTAGGGATGGGTATCGTTTAGGTTTTATCCGATACCAGTACCAAACCGGTACTTTTGAAACGGTGCCGGTGCTTAAACGGTGCTCCAACCGCTGCTTAAAGAATGGAGAACACAAAATTGGTCCAAAAACCTCTCATGTTCAGCTGTTTTTTTTGTAAAAAGATAACAATGTTAGCCTTTTCTGCAGCTATAGGGATTTATATAAATCCCTATAGCTGCAGAAAGATGCGACCTCACAAAAGATATTAGCTATGCTGTCAGACCTGACGACAGCTGTTAACGAACTCCGTGAGGAGGTCAGAGCCATCCGC